AAAAAAATCCTCATGAGTAGAAAAAAAATATAGCTCTGAATCAACAAAGCATAGTTTCAAAATCAAGTGCAACAACATTGGCAGGTTTTCTGACTCAGCAGACAAAAGAAAGTACCTCTGGTGTAACATCTATATCAAGATCAGTGGGGTCAAAGATGAATGATTCATCAATTGAATAAACGAGAACACCCTCTGTTGTTGCTGCTGCAAACTCCTCCCAGTTGGAGCAATTTGTTCCAACAGTAGGTCTTCCACAGTTAGCCATATATAGATCCTGGCAAATTGTAACCAATATTTCTTCTTGTTTGGTTGTCAACACCTTCTTCTACATCACTGTTATCATTGTCAATTAAATCCAAAGGACCAGCTTCTGTCATATTTCTTGAGTTTAAGAAATCAAGAACTCCATCTAAAGAGAGATTGTGGGTTACTTGAAATCGTTGTAGCAGAACCTGTGCAATATTGACCAAATGCATAAGTAAGCAAAACATAACTTATCATCAACGAAGAGGAAAAGTACGGAACCATCATACAGCAAAGTAGAAACAATCACCTAAAATAATATGTACTGGCCACTAGGTTAGGAATGGAAAGCAAGGGATAGAAATGTAAGACCTTTATGGAATTAAAATGTAGTTAGGTAAGTATGAGTCATAAACAATGAAGCAAAATTATATTCCTGAATTCCCTTCTTGGCTCCATATGGAAGAAATTTCTTTTTCTATGGGAAATATGGGAGAAATCATCATCACCTTCAGTGATCAATATATATATATTTTATATATTAAAACTAGGTTTGTAGTAATTGCCTTGTTAGCATGCTGACAAATCAGACTTGTAAAAAACTCAATCTGCAATAAGAGATATGTATGAAGATTTGACTGTAACTCTATGATGGTAGCATGCTGAAATTTTCATTGATTTAAATGAAATTCAGAAAACAGAACAGAATCAATGTTAATGTCATTGCCATCAATGGCATCCAGAAGGTTTAAAAAAAAAAAAAAAAATAGAGGTACTAGTTTTAACAGAGCCATTTCTTTTTCCCTTTTGGCCTGAGAACAAAGCCATTTCCCATTTTTTTTCCTTTGCCAGCAAGAACAAAGCCATTTCACTCCTTACTGCTCAATGATTTCTATTAACTTTCACTACCCCCTTCTCATATCAGATCCACTAAAGTATAAAAGCACTTGAATAATAGACAGAAAAACACCACAATTTTATGCAAAAGAAAAAAAAAAAAAAGGTGTTATGGTATTGTGAAGTTAAAACCAAAAGTTATTTTAATAGGCATAAATGCATTCAAACTAACCTGACCAGCAATGTCATACATACAAAAGTATCTGCTGCACCCTCCAGCTAAGATGTAACTTCCATCAGCAGAGTAACATAAGATTGTGAGGCACTTTCCTGAACTTGAGTTAGCTGCAGATCTACGATCAGTCATGAGATGTCTGCCAGCAATGTCTCCGCAGCCCAAGTACTAATTTGAAAAAAAATTACTTTGTTATGTTTGGTTTCTATTTTAGAAAGTGAAATAGTATTGATCACCTAATGGTTAAATTGGTTTAAAACCAAACCTCATGTTTAAGGGGTCCTTCCAACTTTTGGCTTAAATAGTGGGAAACTAATGTCACAAAAGTTAATTTGAAACACTCAAATGACAAGAAAATTGGTTAAAGGACTGGATGGCATGAAACAATTAGAAGGCAAATTTTGACTTACTCCAATACCAAATACCAATTGTGAAGTCAATATTTCATCTCAAAAAAAAAAAAACAAAAGAAGAGTGAAGTCAATCTATTGAATCCAAAAAATTTGAAGTCCATCTTAGTGCACTTATCCAAAAACCATAATGAGCCCAACCCATTAGAAATTAACCACATGGACCATCGGGTGTCCAAATAATTGACATAAGCAGTCTAGCCCAACCTATAAAGTATAAAGTCTAAGAAGAAAAAAAAAAAAGCACACGCGCCCGCACAGGGAGACACGGTGCATTCCCGCTCGGATCCCAGATTCAAATGAAAGTATCCACAAAATCAGCGAGACAATCTGCATTTTCCTTCATTTTTCTCGGAAAATTTAGTGAAATCTTGGGAGAAAAGCTGTAGGGATTCATAATTGAGAGAAAATGGATTCTCCTGAAGGAGATCGGATTCCCGTGTCAGCATCGACTGCTTCATCTCCCGCCGTACAAGTGAGGTTTTATGCAATGTTGTTGATATTCATTATTTTCTGGGTGCTATTTTTTTTTCTTTTTACTTCGACCCCCTGTTTGGTTGCTGGGAAAAAAGTGGAATTTGGAGTGAAAGATTTCATTTTGATCTTCTTCATTTCTCCTCCGTTCACCCCTATTTTCATTTCTGCTGTTTTAGGGCTTCGACTGAAATGGTGCTTTTGAGTATAGTTGAGGTGTTATGACAGTATTATGTTATTTAGGAATTTGATGGCTGGTTTGACGCTTTTACTGTGGTGGGTTTTGATTTTAATTTCAATATGGAAGTTCTAAACTACTGGGTTGGGATTTTAATTTCATATAATGTTTCAATTTGTATGGTTACTTCTTTTTTTTCTTCCTTTTTTTTTTCATTTCAAAGAAATTTAGAGTGTTCCTTGTTATAAAATTTCTTATGAGAGACTCAGTTTTTGTTGCAGTCTGATGTGTATGCATTATTCCTGATATTAGCAGCTAGTACTCATTTTGTTTACTTCTTTCAATTTTAGGAGTCACCTTTCTTTAGCTTTGCTAGTAGCCTCTCTCCAATTAAATCCGTTAAGGCAGCACGGTATACAACGAGGTTTTCTGAAACTAGTTTCCCAAGCACACCATCAGTGTTTAAATCACCTCATCCAGACCTGCAGCGAGAAACCACTTTTCTGAAAAGGTTTGTATAATCTTAATTCTTCATCTGTGATGCTTTCTGCTACCCTAAATGTGGACTACAATACAGCATTGTTGCAAAAAGCATGTCTAGATGCTAGGCGTTTCTTTTATTTTTTAGATTTTTCTGTTTTATTTGGCACTTTTTTGTAGAAAAATAAAAATGCCTATTAGCAATGCCTAGGCACCATCCAGCGCCTTTTGCAACAATGCAATACAGAATATCCCATCCCCTCCTTTTTGTTTAACCAATCTAAGTGTAGAATACCTCCTACTGTCTAAAAATGGTTCTCCTTGCTTTCTCGCAGAGATGAGACGTTCTCTTTACCTTCTGAAACAGAAAATGAAATAAGTTTACATACTTATGGACAAGTTGATCCACAGTTAAATTCAGGGTTGATACCATGCTCTCAAAAGGAGGTCCAGTCTGGCAGTCCTTCAGGATGTGTTGATCAATACCTGACTGATCCTGCAGAGGTGGAAATTAAGGATGATGCAAAAGGATGTGTGAAACCTACTGCTGCTGATTCATCTCAGCTATTGCAGAGAGTTTTTACTGGATCTGAAGTTACCACTGAAAAAGATAATGCTGACGGCAGCAATGCAGTGGTTCGAGCACAGACATTGCCTGATCTTGCAGAAAAGAACTGGCCTTCAGAGTCACTGAATTTAATTCAGACCTCTGATGAAAAGGCTCATGATGAAACGTATGATGAATACCTGGAGTTTATGTCAAAAAGAGCTGAGGATCATGCTGAGTCTAATATGCTTTTAGAACATCTGGGGGAGGATCTGGTGAGTAACTGATTATAGGTTTAATTCCTCAATATGATTTGGAAAGGAGTATTGTAGTTTGTGAACCTTGTAATTGTAAGAAATAGTTGGTCATGTTTTGCCAGAAGGTTTCTTAGAATGTTAAGTTACAGAATGCAGGTGGTCAACATAGTGAATGTGATGATAGTTGTCCGCATAAAAGCCAAACAGAAAGTTGTAGACCAATATCAGAAGGATTTGCTGAGGTATAACCAAACTCAGTTATTGATACCATTTTGTTCTTTTTAAGAATCATAGTCAATGCATTTAACTATTATACTCTTGGGCTTTCCAATGTGTGGTCTTCTGAAGGTTAATTAAATTTTCTCACTTGGTTTTCTTATACATTTTATATTTAATTAAATTAATTGTGGATTTATTTTTGTGATAAATTATTTTATGTTCAAGGTTGCTCATAGCCAACGTGGAATACGTAGACATCTTCAATTTGAAGCAGAAAGAGCCTCCTGTAGTTCTGCTACTCTTAATCAAAATAGTTCTTCAAATATGGAGATTTCAGTACCTTACAATATTCAACCCCAAGGTAGTGGACAGGCAATCAGCTGCACCAAGACTGTTGCCTTTCAGATGCCTTTCTTTCCATCAGACAAAGATAAGTCCACTGAACATGGTGGAAACATGGTCATCTCTGCTCCTATTCAATCTGGTATTGGTTTGCATTTGAATTCCATTGGAAGATCTGTGTCTGTGGATTCTGATATAACTGTAAGCAAGAAATTGGGCTCTTATTCAAGTTCACTCGAGGAAAAGCTAGTGCCTGGGAGGAGCCATAACTTTGCAGAGGACTTAAGTGTGATCTCAGTGCCAACAATTAAAGAAATTCTTGATACTGGGAACTATAACCATCAGGAAGCTCAAGCTTTTGTTGCTTCCACTGAAGGTCTTCTACCTGACAATATGGCATCATTTCATTCTCTGCCTTTATCATGTTTAGATCAGCAGGCTCCTCTATGTGAGGAGAAAATGACTGGTCCACAAGATGCTGACAAATTTGAGGAGCCAGGCCAAAATAGCCCCAAAAGGAATAGGCATGTGTCCATGAATTCTGTTGTTTTCAAAAAAAATTTAACTTAATTTTCTTTTTGGCATTCTTTGCTGACATAAGGATTTGCTATATCCAGGAAGAGGGCAAAAAGTACCAGTGAGACTGAAGGTTGCAAACGTTGCAATTGCAAGAGATCCCGGTGCTTGAAACTGTAAGTGCACTTGAGGCAGGATTAGAGCACTTTTTTGAGCTTTGAGATTCTTGCCCGCAGAATGCAGGGTTTCAAAAATATTCGGCAGGTTGATATAAACCTGCTTTACTAGTCAAGAAAAACTGAAACATGAGGATTTTTATTTCATGCTATTGAATTTTTCTGGTCTAGCTCTAAGTCATAACCCCATGTATACAACCATGGACTGTAATGGTCATATCCTAAATGCTTGCCAAACATCAAGGAACTGTAGGTTCCCCTGGTTGGTCATATCTTGTTTAAGTGCATGGTATAGTCAATTGAAATGAAGACAATTATTATTTTTTTCTTATTTTTTAAACATCTAGACAAATTGATCTTAGAATACAAACTATGGTGAATATCTAATATTGTTTTCTTTCGTTGGATATTTTCTTTCAGAAAGCATGTAAAGTGAAATCTTTTTGTTGTTCGGAGGTTGGAGAGATGTACATATAGTTTCATAATTTTTTGTTATTCTTTAGTTATTGCAGGATTCATAGTTTGAGGTGTGCTCCATAGTGAGTGCTTTCCTTCTGAATGAAACCCATTGGAAGAATCTATTATAAATAGTTTGATAAGAACTTATAAATACTTAAATATTCATATCTGCAATCTTCCTCCATGTTAGAGAAAATATGTTTTATAAACCATTCTGTATATTTGCAGTTTGTTTGAGCTGTATTCTTTTCTGTCATTGCAGTTACTGCGAGTGCTTTGCTGCTGGAGTTTACTGCATAGATTCCTGTGCATGTGAGAACTGTTTTAATAAGCCTGAATATGTGGACAAAGTTCTTGAAACACGAGAACAAATTGAATTGCGTAATCCTCTTGCATTTGCTCCAAAGATTGTAAAACATGCCAATGATTCTCCAGCATATGCTGTGGTAATACCTTCTGGAATTGTTTTACATGTTTAACTTCAGGGAATTGGAAGGATTTTCATGTAAGAAATATTTTGCAGGAAGAAGGAAACCGGACAACTCCATCCTCAGCCCGGCACAAAAGAGGATGCAATTGCAAGAAGTCAAAGTGCCTCAAAAAGTACTGTGAATGCTATCAGGTATATATTAAAGTCAATAGCTTGACGTGCTTTGTTGCAAAAATTATTCTGCTTCCTATCTGCTGGTAAAATATGTTCTTTTTTACTTCATTATCCTGAATTCTTACTCGAGCAAATATGGCATGCATGGTACGTCAACATAGCTTGCCATGCTATGTTGCAAAAATTATTCAAAAATGAATGCCCCCTTCCCCTTTTAAATAAAAACAGAAAGCAACTGGTCTTTCTCACTTAAGATCTTCCAGTGCAGGAAGTTGTCACTGAGATGACCTTTACTCATTTAATTAAAATTTTCTTTTGTTATATTCCTAGTCAAAAGTTGGATGCTCTGATGGATGCCGGTGTGAGGGTTGTAACAACTCCTTTGGCAAGAAGCCAGGTTCTAATCTCTTTATCCTATTTAGTTGATTCATTTATAGATTTGCCATCAGGTTTTTTCAAGTGCTTTACTTTCTGAGAAGTATGTCCTGTCCTGGTTTTAATTAAGATAATTATGCAATTGATTGTCATGGTCTTGAAATTTTATAACTTTTGTTTTCCCTTAGGAGCATGCACTACATCAGGTCCTCTCAGTCCCTAAAATTATTATTTTGTCTTTTTTCTAATGAGAGTTGCATCTTTACACTAGTGAATAAATTATCTGAAAATGCATATGCAAATCTTAATGCGATGAAAAAGAATAACCTGTAAAAAAGAACTCATTGGATAATGATATTGTTTCTAACTCTCCCCAGTTTAATGCTTTCAGAAAATGCATTTCGACATCCAGTCAGTTATGTCTACGTAACTTTCAAAGAAAAATTCCATGGTTGAGAACAAATCAAGTTTACTTTTTTTTTAAAATTGGGAACAAAAATTGATTATGAATAAATATGCACCCATCTTGCTGTTCAAAAAAAAAAAATATGCACCCATCTAATCATAAGTTCTATAGAATTTTAGGGCTGAGAGTCTAGAATTTTATATTCTATAAAATGAATAATGCATTGAATGAAAATATTAGTACCATATTCTATTGTTTTCTCTAATAAACAACATAGTCCTTATGCTGGAATTGCAGAATCTAAATTCCCAAAAATGGAAAGATGGAAGAACCTATCACATGAGAAACAGGATTCTGCAGAGACTGTGAATGATGGCATCAAAACTAGGACCAGAAATCAGTTTTCACCAATATGGGAAGGACTAGCTGATGTAAGTCACATCACGCCTAGCCTCCAGTTGAAAGATCGCCTTCATGAGCACTCCTCACCATTTGTGAGCAAGGCTTCACATGAAGTGGGTTCTGGCAGTAGTGATATGGCGGGCATTGATACACCTGACTTGCTTAAGGACAATTCTTCACCCACCGAGGGATTTCAAGCTAGCTCACCAAAACAGAAACGAGTATCTCCTCCACAACATGGGTCACAGAGGTTAAGTTCAGGCACTACACAAGGTTTGAGAAGTGGCCGCAAATTTATTTTGCAAGCTGTTCCTTCTTTCCCTCCTCTGACCCCATATAGTAACACCAAGATCAAAATTAATCAAAGTGATAATCAAGATAGTGTTCATCATGATCAATGATCTGGGTTTACTTTGAAATCGCTTCATTAGTTTGAAGGAGGCACTGTGTATTGTCAACTATCTCCGTTGCCAACATAGGTTGCTGCTTCTAGGCCATTTTCTTTGTAGCTTGTGAGGTTTGGTAACGTTGCAAGTAGCCAGTGACATGTCAAATGTAATCAATGTTTGTGAAAATGGATATATAATTAGAAACCAGTATTACTGTTTTCTTGTCATCCTGATCCTGTACTACCCTTAGACAAGTGCTGTTTTGGTTGTTAATAATAATACCGCTCTTTTAATGTATACCAACACTTGGATGTATATATTTAGTAGTTAACTGAATTATCAAAACTGAATTTGCTTTTGAAGGTGCCAACCAGTAGAGTTGGTAAGGTTTTTTGATGGTTATATTAAGGACCTAGGATTTTTAAATCTCACCTTCATCGAGGAGAGGGTTACTTATTTGGTTACTTTCTATTGTGTAACCCCGCACATCATGAAATGATGAATTTGCTTTTACGTCCAGATCAATGGCTGCTTCATAACCAAATAATTGGTAAGCTGTGGTAATTTTGAAGTTGCAAAAGTTTCGCATCTGGATATTATGAGTGACGAGACCATGAAGTTCTTTTACATAGATTTCTTCTTCCAAAAAACCATTTAAAAAAGCATATTTCACATCCACATGGTATACCTTCCAACCATTTTGAGCAGAAATAGCAAACAACAGTTTGATAGTATCATGCTTTGCGATTGGTGCAAAAGTCTCAGAAAAATCTACTTTTTGCTGTTGTGCATATCCCTTAACCACTAATTTGGCCTTATACTTGTTTACTGAACCATCAGGATTAAGCTTTGTTCTAAAAACCCACTTAACCCCAATCACATTTTTACCTTTTGGTCTAGGACAAAGTGACCAAGTTTTGTTCTTTTCAATCATAGCCAGCTATTCTTTCATAGCAGCCATCCATTCATCATGTTTTGAAGCCTCAAAAAAGCAAGTTGGATTAGAAGTAGCCAAATTGCACCTAGCATACATATGCTCAAGTGGCTTTACCTTCAAAAGTGGTGAGTCATCATCAGTTTCAGCAACATTTTGGTGTCTAGAAGTAGCAGCTGCACTTTGTCCAACATTAGAGTCTTCATTTAACTGAGAAGAAGATTAACTGAGAAGAAGACTCCTTAATAATTTTCTGATCATCCCAGCTCCAAAAAGCAGATTCATCAACTAAAACATCTCTATGCACTTCTACTTTTTGAGATTGCAAATTATAAATTCGATATCCCTTTGACTGTGCTACATAACCAACCAGAATTCCCATCCCAGCTTTCTCATCCAAGTTGGTTCTCCTAGCTAATGGAACATGCATATAGCATATAGAACTAAAAACCTTAAAATGATAAGCTGAAGGCTTAAGTCCAAACCAAGCCTCAACAGGAGTTTTACCTTCAACAGCTCTAGTTAGAAAACCATTTAGCAAATAAAAATGTAGTGTAGTTTAGATTATATCAAATTCTATTACATTAACTATTAGATAGAGTTGGGGCCTTTGATATTGAGGCTTTCTTTATCCTTTCATCAAATAGTTCTTATTTTATAGTTTAGTACAATTTAGATTGTAAAACAAAGTTCTCATGAGATTTATACATTAAAAGTGTAATATATCCTATGAATTTACCAAAATACCCTTAATGAAATAACAAAAAAAAAATAGTTTTATAAATAATATTTTAGTAAATTTATAAGACATACTATATTTTTAATAGACAATTTGCCCCATTAAACATTTTTTTTTGGTAAAAATAAAATATATTACTACCATGAGAGTATTCAAACATAAACTAGTTTATAACTAAGAAGCCAGAATGAGATGCTGCTTAAAGAGACAAAGAGATGATAAAGCTTGAAGCCAAATCCACTAGATATTAGTTTAAATACCACAGTGCCTAGAGTCATTACCATTAACCTTCTTCATTATAAATTTAAAAGCTTACAAAATTTTATTTTACCAAGAAGGGGTCTAGTAAAGTTTACTCAACTATACCATGTACTCCACAACCCATGGAGTTAGCAACTAACTTAACTACTTCTAGACATGCAGTTTTTCTGTTTAACCATTCTCACTTCCCTCTTCTCCCTCCACCAGGTCCATGACTAGGTCTTATTCTGTGCTGCTGTTATGTGCGAGACCCCCCAAGTCCCAACCTTGTAGTAAGCCAATTGCTGACCTCATCCATCTCTCTAGGAACTGTATAGTGACCAAGCCTGCATGGCCAAACCAAACCCCTCAAATGATTAAGTAAATTCCATCTGATGTTTGTGTGGGATATTACTTGCAAATTAAAACACTGGAAAGTTACCCGTCATAGGATTTGAATGTGAGGGTTCGGAATCCTGCCATAGTTAAGGAATTGGCAGATTTCTCTCCATATTTATGCTGGACAACATCATCACCTGCAACAGGATTATACGGAGGTTTCTTTACTCGGTTTGTTTGGTCATGTTGCCATTCTTTATTTTCCATTCTCATTTCCAAAAATTTGTTGACAAAATAACTAGCAAAACTTTCTGTAGATGTTCATAGAACATCGTATTTGGATTTCAAGCAATAAGTAGGGAGCAATTTAAGACATGGTGTAGACGTTGAGAAACATTTTAAAAATATGGTAAGACATGGCTGCAGAGGAGAAAGAGGGACATACCAGTTCCGTGAAGGAGCAAAACAGGCAATGATGCAGCACGCCTTGCAGCTTCATGTGACCTTTCTACTTTGTTCTTTAGCCCCCTGCAAGATGTTAACCTTTAATTGGCAAGTGTGGTATTGTTTTCTATACATCAAATTGTCTCGGTTGTGTCACAAGGCCAAGCGAAAATCATTATACAGCAGTCTTATAAGATTAGCATGGTGTGCAGAAATATGCCATATTTGGATAGAGAGGAATACTAGAATTCACAAACGGACATTCAAAAGTGAGTTTGCAATTGTGAGTCAGATACAAACAGATGTCCGTGACAAGGTACTTAGTTTTGCTAGGGCAAAATCCTCCCCTATACCTAACAGTATTGCTTCAAAATGGGGATTAGAAGTTTTGTGTAGAGACTGATATGCCATTTTTGTACCGCTAATTCATTCTTTGTATGTGAATATTGGTAGCAGCCTGTATTATAAAGAGCTGCTTTGTGTATAGTGGAAGTTTTGATAATAAAATTTACATTTTACCCAAAAAAAAAAAAAGATACCACTGATAAATCCTCCAAATTAGATGCTCCCCAAACACCGTGTCATGATGATTTCTTATTCAGAATCCCTTCCAATAAGCACAGGTTTTGGAAAACATAAATGAGAAATATTAGTACCTTGAACCCGGAAGCCAGCCACTCAGTCCAACAACTGCCCTTAGGTTGACAGGATAAGGGTTGCCATTTCCAAATCGGCCCAGAACACAGCAAGTTCCAGAATAAAGTGCCATTGCAGCACCCATGCTGAAGCCTCCAATGCCAACTTTAACTAAACCAAAAGAAACCAATATATTGTTAGAGAGCTTGTTATATCAATTGGCACCATATTAAAAAGACTTTAAATGCCTAGTTCAACCAGCAAAAAGCCAATTTGTAATGATGCAGAAATTTATCATATATTTGTATCCATGGAACCATATTATTACCTCAAAAGTTGATATCCTATAAATTTTATGTACCAAATGTATAGAAAATAGAAAAAAAGTATGGAAATTCGAACTAACTAACTCGGGTATGGCCTATTAGAAAATTAACAACTTGCAGCTTCAAATGCATTCTTAATTTTAAAAATCCCTGATTGACTTCCCTTGGACTTTGCAATGATTAGAAATTTTGGCTTTGAATTGCAAATTAGTTGCTGTTCTAGTGTTATTTCATGGAAGTTTATAGAAGTCTTGAAAAATTACCATCAGCCGGCTCTGTTGACAGCAAGTTTGCAATATGTGCTGCTGAAGCATCTAAACCCTCCCAATCATCTGGACCATCTTCTGAAAGCTCTCCCACATCAAACCCTGATGCAAACCAAATAGTTTAAATGATCTTTCTCAGAGTCAAAGTATAGTGATAGATTTTTTATTTTTTTATTTCTTATTATCAAAGATAAAGAAATAGTAAGTATGATCAAGTTGTTGCCGAGAAAGAGAGAAACTAAACTTACAGGCAGTGCAAGAATATCCACCAAGTAGAGCCACTGAACGAGTGGGAGCAGTTGGGCAAATCCATTTTATCTGCAAAGTAGAATATCAAAGAGATCCAGTTCAATTTTGCCATGTGGAGTGTAAAAAAGTTCATGCATTGTAGAGGATGTAAGTTACAATAATTTACTAAATATGCTTCCTTACATTTGGAAGAGGGAGGCATTCCAAGAGCTGGGACCAGCTGCAGCCAACAGAGATTAAAATGAGAAAAAAATGTCTGTAAAACATTTTGGTCTCCTATGCAATGATCTAGCAAATATACATACTTTATATTATGCTAAACATGAGAGTGCAACAGAAGAATTCAAACAAAGAAAACAAAAGAAAAAGAAAAACTACAGTATTTAAAAACAATTAAGGATATCCTTTGCAAAAAGGTCAAGGTCCCCCTTCATGAAAACGGCGTATACCCTTTCCACATTCAAGGCTTCCCAAGTTAGGCTTTACAAAAATAGAGAAAGAAAAACAGGAATTAACTGAATCTCTATTATTTCACTGCCCGGCTGCCCTTTCTATCAAATTTACTCCACTGAGAGTTCAACAAAAGAAGCTCAAAAGTGAAGAACACACCATGATATGGACCCCTCATTATAAAACATGACAAGATGTTGACATTCTTGAACTCCTTTCTTTTTTTTTTGTTTCTAGCACCAAAGGTCTATCATGATGCAGAAATTGTACTTAATACAAAAGCAGTAAACCACAGCACATAGTTGCATCAACTGTTAGCGACAAGTTATGAAAAAAACATCAAATAAAGACAATCACTAAAATTTTTTCCAACGTGATCAAATCATGCTGTTTACTGGTTTATGTTCAGCTATACAGTGATGAATTGCTTGGTTCCGTTATATGCATCTAAGCTTTGATACTTAAGGTCCATTATGTACTAGCCATTGTAATGAAAATCTACCATTCATCTATCAGGCTTCTGGTCATAAATGAATGATGTTGATAATAAGGTGACAGAAAAAAGAATTCTGAAATCGGAAGGGGGTTTCTGAATTCTGAATCACTGCAATGTCAAACAAAAACAAAAAATTTATGTAAAGGAATAATACCTTGAACCATTATCACCGAGACCATGAAGCCAAACTATAGTTGCCTGATGTCTGCCTTTTGGCCTAACCACATATGTTCTTCCAAACTCAAATGTCCTTCTAGCAGTTCTACTACCTAAAAATCAGCAGCAGAAATAGAACATGATTTGTCAAATACCAATGAAGTCTAAGAAGAAAAATTTACCAGAAACCTTATAAATGAATGACAAAATCATGACCAAATAAAAACGAGTCCCTGTAACTAAAAACCTCCACATATTCATCAAGTTGACATGAAAGAACAAAGAGAGGAAAAGGGAGTAAAAAAGCAACAAACCTGAGCCCACTGAAAGTTGAGTATAGCTCATTGCTTCAGGTTGAAACACTGAACTAGACAACAACCCAACCTATATGCCAAAGACTCAGAAGATGTGCTGCAATGAAGAAACCCAAAATGATAACAGCTATTTATAACCAAATGGGCAGCGTGGAAATGGAATAAAACAGGTGAATATGCGTCACTAAGAACGTGTTACGGTGTAAACCAGCTACACGGCGTATCAAAACCCACCTAGAAACTCAAAAAAAGGGAGAAGGCATCCATGAAAAGGAGGGCGGGGGGGGGGGGGGGGGGGGAAAGGAAGTGGGAAAGCAGAAAATCTTTTCAACAGCTGAAAAGAATCCAGCGAGAGCACAGCACAATCATCCGTTCCTAACAGAGATTTCCAAAATACAGAGAATCTTTGAACTTTGTGGTTGTAGGCAGCGGCCAAAAAATAAAGCAAACCCACAAGTCATACAAGAATATTACTGAAAACAAGAAAAGATCAATCCAAGTTCACAAAAGAAAATATCATTTTCCAATCATTTGTTTATGAATTTTTTGTTGATTGATTGATGGATACCCATTAACTAAAAAATTTTAAAGTTTTCGACTTTCATGCATCCGAAGAAACAAAATTTTGGTGTCTTGGAAATATTCAATGACTAGAGGACAGAATGAGAACTGGGGCTTCAATGTTCCTCTGTTCTTTCCAAATTTAAGTTTTTCAATTTATTCAATGTTTTTTTCCAGATTTTAATTATTTCTTTTTTAATTCTTAGAAAATAAAACTTTATCCATACCCCTTACATTTGCTGAGATTATTGTTACTATTAAATTTGTTAAGAACACTAATTTAACTATTAAATTTGTTAAGGACATTAATTTATTTGTCAAGTTATAGGTTTTTACTTTAAATAGTTGGTTATAATGTTTAGAAATATATGTTTATAAATTGATTTTAATATGTTAAATTCAATTTTAATATGTTAAATAATAAATATTAACTGTTATTGGCTGTTTTTAAAAATCAAAATTAAGAGAAAAATTTAACAATTTTTAATAACCTTAACAAATTTAATGATGGCCACAACCATTACCCCTACATTCTCATATAGATTTATGTCTTTATATATGAATTAATTATGAAATTTCTTTATATTAAAAACTATAAAGCTTACTAACCTGGATTTCTCATGTGGAAAGAGACAGCAGAAAAAGCATGTATACTTTTTCTCTCTGTCTATTCTATCCTCCCTCTTCCCTTGTTGCTTGCCACTACATGCACTCATGGGAGACACCATGAGTGCAAGCACACCATCCCTCCAAAGCTGCATCTCTCTTGAAAGATAAGAAACTGACCAAATTGTCCTTCCTGTAGCAAAGCATTTCCAAACCTTCTTGTTACTAAAATATGAACTCTGAAACTTGATTCTTTTAACTCAACATATATGCATAAATCACTTCTCATTTTTTGAGGAGGTAATATGACTTGAATCCTAATTCTCCACATTAGGATTTTGTAAGTTTGTCATTGAAAAAATCTTTGCGCCGTGCAATGAGCATTCAATTTTTAAGGATCTCATTTTGTTCTGTTCGTCAAATCAAAATTAACTTAATAAGATAGACTTTTAATTTTTATTTTTTAACATCATATTATGGATTATCTTTGCACATATTGAACTAAGTTATTTGGTTAGCACTAAAGGAGTTGCAAGGAATTACCTACCCCTAACCTCCATGAAGAATCAAATTTTAATCAATAAAACAGAAACAACTCTACTTGCTTACCAGACCAATTCTCAGACATATAATATATGAGAAAGTTTGTCATTGGCATAAATCTTAACCCCCCTAAATTCTAGATTCCTTTTTTGTTTTGCGTATATATCAAATAAAGTCATTAGTTTAAGACCAAAGGAATTGTAAGGAATTACCTACCCTAACCACTAGAAGAATAGAATCTTAATCGATAAAACATGAAACAACTCTACTTGTCTACTAGACCAATCACCCAAGGTAAGGTGGGTCTTGATTTTTAGACTCAATGACCCACCATCTAGTGACCTTACAATCATAGGTGACATAAATCTTATTACAAAAATGTAGATTCTTCTTGTAAATGCATAGTGATTTACTTACATCGTTCAATGTGGATTTCATCTTTAAGAATCTCATTCTGTCTTTTAAACCTAAGTTGACTTAATAACATAGAGTTTCAATTTTTAATTTGCACATTTGGCTTGCAAATACCAATCAAAGTCATTTGTTTTGGACTAAAGGACTTTATGTTAATTGATAAGACAGAAAACATCTTTACTCCGCTGCCAGACCAATTGCCCAAGGTAAGATAGTTCTTGATATGTGATATGTGGTAGACTCAGAGTCCCACCATTTAGTGACCATTATGCACCACTATGTACCTATAAGATGCAGCCTTAATGCATCCTTTTTCTGGAGAAGAAGAATCTATCTTTAATGCATTTATCACATGCCTGTTTCTCATATATGCTCTCAATTGAATGCGCACAATGCCTGAACCATGCCCTACTCCCAACTTTAGGCAAGGTGTTCGTCAACCATCATACCCTTTCTAAATTTTATATTTAAATGGTTGACCAAAGGAAATGACGATGCAATGGCATGCTGCTATTGGTTATGACGCTTAATGGTGGCATCTGATTATGATGGTTACCTTTAAGGTCAATTTTAGTGTAAATTTTTCCATCCTTTCTGGGAAGAAAATTTTGAGCAACTTTTTGATTGTCAACTCCACCTTTACCCCACAACACTCATTAATTAGGTGAAGAATGAAGAATCTATCTCTGTTATAAAGAATTTTTTTTTCTTTAATGATACCTAATTTTTCTGAGTTTACTTAATTAAATTTCTGGGTTAATTTAACATCAGACAGCAAGCATATTCTTCCTGCACTACTCTGTTTTTAAAGATTCAAATACCTAAATGTGACCTCATTTGCTTAATTGTATAAACTATAAACAAATAAAGTAGGCAAACCTTTCTATAATATATAATTACTTGACGAGGAAAGATGGAACTCTTCAAATAAATTAAAACCCTAGTGCGGCTAAACTAGCAAACCATTTTCACCAAGGGACAAGGGTGGAACCACGCACCAAGGTCGCCTATGATTAGGCTCAGGGCGGTCCTATCAATGAAAGAAACTTCTTTATAAAATTTGGAGTCTTACTAGTGCTTACAAGTTGCACGTACCCACAAATGAGAATTTTTATAAAGCTTAAAGTCATATTGTGAATATCAGAAGAGATTGTTGCTTTGAAGTCTGCTTTTTACACGTCTGCTCAAACAATACATTTTATAATTATTGATAAAAGAGAGACCATTCCAAGTTTCCAACGTCAGCGGCTGCCCTTCATCAATGATTATTAGATATTTTGATACCAAAAACAAAAGAATAAAACACCCTAATGATCTGGGGCAAAACCAGCCTATGATCATCAAGTATGCCTAAGAATCGACTCTGATTCTGGCCCTGATTTCCGCCCTAGTTCATATGCAAAGCTAGGTGGCGCAAACACGAATGCAGTTGAAAAACCAAAGATATATATGATACTGAGATTCTGTAGGAACCATCTAGGATTCTAGGCTTCTAGCTAACACCAAACGTTGCAAATAAAGTTAGGGTTTTTAAGGGTATAGATTAAAAGTATACGTATTTATTTTGGAAAATAATGGGTACACACCCAGATTCCACACCCGGTGTGCATTCCTCATATAAACAAAAAAAAAATGCCCATCACTTGATTCAATTTTTTTTTTTTTTATGTAGGGGGTGCACACCCGGGTGTGGGATCCGGGTGTGCACCAATCATGATCCATTTATTTTATTTTTTATTATTAATTTATATAAAAAATTAATAAATGTAGACTTTATTTCAACCCTCATGCCACATGTATTTTAATTAGATAGTTAATAAAAATAAAGTTAATTTTTATTTTTTTAAAAAAAATTAGGGTATAAATTAAGTACATATTAAAAATTCTATAAAGTTAAAGTTTTGGTTTACACATTGTGATTTAGACATCATTGAAAACTATGAACATAGTTAATTAGGTAACTTAGGTTTTCCCACTATACATCTCTCATTTTCAGTGAAAAAAAAAAAGATATTAATGTGTGAATGTGGGCTAAAGAAGTAGAACAAGGGATAAACAAGAGAAAAAAAATGCCAACTGAATTACCGATCAAGCATGGTGGAAGAAGCATTGATTCAATTCAACTCCTATAAATGTAGCATTAAAGAACAGAACTAAAGAGATTTGTGCATGGAGCACCAAATATATATATATATATATATAGTTTTTTGGGATATTTTTGGAGATATTTGAGGAAGGAGAAGAATTTTCCTTTTCTCCTATGAAGTAGAGTTGCTGGCTGCTGCTAAGCTGTAACGCAAATGTGAAAGAAAATTCTCCGTGCATGGAGCACCAAATATATATATATATATATATAGTTTTTTGGGATATTTTTGGAGATATTTGAGGAAGGAGAAGAATTTTCCTTTTCTCCTATGAAGTAGAGTTGCTGGCTGCTGCTAAGCTGTAACGCAAATGTGAAAGAAAATTCTCCTTACATGAAAGACATTTTGAAGATTTTGATTAAAGTGGAGAAGGCATAATATTTTTTCTAGGATGATGAATGGACTTAGAGAGTTAGGAAGCAAATAGCAGTGTATGCAGCTAGGTTTCTTTATATCTTTCACAGTATGGATTGAAAATTACAGTTACGTTTGGTATGATTGTAATGTTTAGTTTTTAGTTTTTATTTTTAAAAATTTTACAACGGTTGCAAAAAAAACTAAAAGCTTATTTAAAACAAGTTTAATGAACTTATTTAATAGTATTAAATTTTTTTCTTATTTCCCAAGTAATTATGATAGTATGTTGCAAAAACACATGAAAATAGTGTTGTAAAAAGTTTGCCTAGACGGCACTGAGGCACTACCTAAGTGCTAGGCGATACTCCACCTTGCCTAGGCCCGAGGCAATAAATTTTAGGTATTTTTTATTATTTTTTGGATTTATTGTTATATTTTGACATTTTTTGCACAAAAATTAAGACCACCTAAAATGCTTAATAGTGCTAAGATAGCACTTAAGCACTGCTTACATGCTAACTAGGCGGTTGTCCAATGCTTAAGTATTATCGGTAGTTGTCTAATACTCACCTAATACTTCTTACAACCTTGCATAAAAATAATTTTTTTTTTTTAATTTCAAAACTTATAAAACCAAAACAAAATATTTAAAACGATATATAATGTATTGAATGTGGATTGAAGAAGTAAAATGAAGAGATATGAAGCATATGTAAGCTTTTTGGGTAAATTTGAATAAGATTATCTTAAAGTACTAGTCTAGAAGAGAAGGTTTTTTTTTTTTTTTTTCCCTTCACCTTCGTCAGATATGCTCAAGTCCTTTCATGTGAAAAGACTGAAAAAAGACGAATAAGGAAATGTTCACCAAAAATGAAGTTTCGATAGTATTTCAAATTCCGAATTAAAATGTGTGGAGTTATACAAATTTTAAGGACCTCTCAATATTATCGACGTTCAAAACCTAAGCAGTATGTGGAAGTATGAAGCCAACCCAAGACATTTGTTTATTACTATTTTGGAATAGAAGCTTTTTTTCTTTTTCTTTTTTTTGATTGGCAAAGAATTATGGAATAGAAGCTGATGTTGGTTTCTCGTTATTGGTAAGAGTAAGACAGTGAAAGGAGATTTGGAATCAATTATTTTGATTTTTTGAACCATTTTAAGTGCTTTTTCTTTGGTTGCTTTTGATTCATAATCTTTTAGGAAACAAAAATCAAATCTCCTTCTCTGATATCTTGTGCTAGATATTTAACCAAATTTGCTCTTATTCCATATTCCAATTTTTGAGGTGCCAAGAGAATTTAGCTTTTTTCTTTTCTTTTCTTTTCTTTTTGGGTAGAATTTGGTTACTTTGCAGTGTAATTACCAGCATTTACTAACCCAAGAAAGTGGTTTATTGATTAAAAACTTAAAATTCTAAATTAGAGATTTTAAACTCGAATCTTGAGTATGATAAAAAAAAATTTAGGAAAAAAAAAACTATCAATTCTTATAAAGTTCATTATTATCAAATGTATAAAAAAAAAAAATATCACAGAGCATTTGTTTAGCACTAAAGAGCACAACACCTGGCATGATTTCTCTGAAGCAGCAAAATTCACAAGAAGAAGCTTGAAAGTTGAAATGGTTTAACACGAAGAGGCTGAAGAGTAAATTAAGTCATCCATTTCTCTAGGGACTCAGCAAACAAGATAGTTGTTCATCTCCATCGGCCAAGCCATTCAAAATCAGCTTATTTGCTACTTAAGTTCAGCTTGATTAACAAACAACCAAGACATTCTTGGGTCTTCGTTTCATGAACTCAAAACCAACTAAACAAGAAAATCTTTCTTTCTTTTTTAGGTAATAAATTCGTCTTCAAGCCAAACTCTCAAAATATAGTAAGTTTGAGAATCAAATCTAAGAGCAAAGAAACAAGATAGCGTTTCTACAAGGAATCTCAGAAAACTAACATCAGAAGTTTTATGAAAAAATTGGAAGGTAGCCATCATTTTATTTTGCAGTGCATTATAATTTAACCTAAGAAGGTCCAGAATTCCAAAAAGATGACAACCACTGTCTCAATAACCCAAAAACTGATATTATCCCAAACGTTGCTTT